TAAATGGCCTTTGAACGTCTGGTGATGATTAACGCAATCCCGAATTCTTCCGAAAAAAGTAAATGGCGCTAGGAGTGTGCGTTCGTGAAAGCGATGAGGTCTGTGCGTCATAAACAACAAATAGACTAGGATGAAAGAATGTTTCCGACCAAGTTATGGCACGGGCTCGCCGTGGTGCCCAATCTACGTCCCTTAGAGGGATACCGCCCGCGACAATTGAGGTTAGGATGGCCATTTCTGGGTTGCTCGTCGTCGTCAGCCAGCCATATCTCACCCCAGGTCTGAATTCGCCGCGGCGGCGAGGGTGCCTAAATAGTGAGCCCTGGGGACGTCACGAACCGATGCAGGCCATATCCCGCCATTTCTGGCCAGACTCTCGGTAATTTTCTTGCTTAGAGCTCCATTTTGGGACAACAAGGAATGCTGGGCCCATCATACTCTTCGGTTCTGACTTCTCCGCATTTTCACTTCCTTACCAGCGCTGTCGCGCAGACTGAGACGGGCATTAAAGAAAACGCCATCGCGAATGAGATGCCATTCAGGTTGGTGGAGACAACACGAAATAATGAGACAACGATGTCTTACTGAATCAGCACTCGGACTCCTGAGACGCCAGTTGTCAGCCCCCCCGATATTCGGTAGTAGAGGATGTGCACCTCCCACCCAACATGTCGAAACCGACACGGCAACGGGCTCGTGGCGCAGTGGTTTGAGGCGTTGACTTATAACTAACGGGTCGCGAGTTCGAGCCTCGGGTGTTCCACACATCGAGGTTGGGTATGACTGGCTGACGACGGCTAATAAGCCAGAAATGATCATTCCAGTCTCCCTTGTCTTTGTCCGAAATAATATACTGCCGAAAACATTTTCCTTGTTGATTGTCTGACGTTTAAAGTGGCAATATCGACCACTCCACGTCAGAGACAGCCTGGAGGCAGTTGCCGATTGTGAACGTCCCCACATCATGAATGCTTTTATAGTCTTCCCACTTCGATCTATTCGTTCCATTACATTCCATTACTCTGTCTTCCACTGTCCTGTCCTTACTCCATATCGATTCCCTTTTCGACAGTATTCACAACTTTGTTTTCTACCTAGTCGTGTTATATGCTTTAAGGTTTCTCAGTTTGTTTAGAAAGACACATTTAGGGGTGAATTGTCAGCAAAAGCAAATTGGACTAGAATGGCCATTTCTGGCTTATCGGCCATCGTCAGCCAGCCGAAGTGTTGAACAACTGGGGCTTGAACCCGCGACCTGTCGGTTAGAAGCCCAACACCCTAACCTCTGAGCCACGGGCTCCTTGTCTTGTCGGTTTCGATCGGTAATGCTACAATTGGTAGATGAACGCTCACCGATCGCGCTACAACATTCACTCGTTTCGTTCTGCTCATGGGGCTGAATCTCGGGTCCTGCCGGCAGCCGCATGAGCAAAAATACTGCGCATAAGCGGGTGATGCGTGCTCCATCCTTGTTTTCCCATCTTTCTACCGATTTGTCCATTTCATTTCTATAAAAATCATCTGGTCTGGTTTAAAAATAATTTTGGGGCCAATTATTGAGGTCATTGTTGTTGCCAAATGTAACGCCGCGCCTCTAGACCGCGGGTGGAGGTCTGAACCGTAAGGAGGATGCAATAGGACTTCACAGTTGCCTTCTTGGATGGCCAATTTTGACAAGTCAAGTCGTGCAAGATCGGACTTTTTCACGCTGCAGAATCAGTTAGCCCTGTTGGTGGGGTCTTTTTGATTAATCACCCCTCGTAAGCCATGCAGCTGGGCTGCATAGATGTTCCTTCCAACCTTTCGGTTTCGACCGAGCATTTCGTAGTGGATCATGCCTCCATCCCCCACCCCAGTCCTAATGCACGTAAATCATGGTCTTTCAAGGATGAAGATCCTCCTGCGGCCGATGCGTTGCGTGTTCATCGCGGCCCGCGCATTCCATTCTTTGCCTTCTACTGGCTTACGTGCGCCGCTTTTGGCCGCGATAGAGAAACATTTATGTCACACAGGCAAGTCAGCAACAGCAGTGAAGCGCTGATGTTTCTTGTTTCTCAGCGAAACCCTTGGCACCCACGCCTCCGACTTCCCATCGTCTCAAAGAATGGCCTGGTGGTGGCATTGCAAATTTCCTGTTGATTTGTCAGTCATTTTCTTTCAAAATGCACTCGTACGATGCGCATTGGAGCCAGTTTGTCGTCCGGCGAGTAGCGGTGGACAGGACATGGGAATAGGTATCCCTCCGAATTACCAGGTGGTTCTTCTCTAAATTCCCGGAGCACACCTATTCCCGTGTCCTAACGCAAATCTTAGTCCGGCATCTGAGCGCAGGACCACCTGCAATGCACGCCTGGTACCTATTCGCATGACCTAGCAAACGGGGACAGTGGCCGTGTAGAGCAAGAAAAGTGCTTTTAAATTATGTGCAACAAATTTGGGGGAAAAACTGTACTTGAAGAGGCCTCGTGCCGGTGTGGCAGCCCAATACATACGTTTTCACCATTCCCCTTCGGCGTATTATTGGTGTTTGTGTTCAAAGTATGCCTTGGTTTCCAGCATAGCCTCGTTTTAACACATATCTGCTGCTGCCGCCGGTGAGTTTTATTTCGTTTTCGTCGGGACCAAAGTACAGCAGTTAAAGAGTTGGCTAATTGAATTCCTGGTGACGTTTACCACTTCCTTTACGCTGGACTGATTGATGCGACACCAGCTCGTCCAATCCGACGTGGCTTCCGCCGCCGTCAGCTTCACTCTCCTTAGGGCGATGTCCGACCTGTAATGAGACTGAAATATAGAAACCAAGCCTCGACTTTTCTCTATGGCATTTAAACATTCTTTTAAAGTCTTGACGTCCACGCATGCGCATCCTGGTCTTGATGTTTGGAGAATGTTTTGCTGAAAATTATGGGGGCGTTTTCTTCAAAACGAAATTCTTCTTACCACTCTCTCTCCTGACGGTTCTTCCGTCATTATGGACGATGTCCGCCGTGTGCTCCACAGCAAGATAAGAAGAGGGACGGTGACTTGCGCGTGATTCGTTTTATCCCGATAGTAGACTTGTACTGCGTCTACCGCACTCTCTCCCCCTCATCCACTTATTCGCAGTGTCATGACGGGGTTAAGCAGGGTGGAGGCGGAGGAGGAGGGCGGACGCAGATGAATGGCACGGCGAGAACCCGCACCTAGGCACACCACAGTCCCCGGTCCACAACGCACACTAACCAGGATTTTATCCAATAAGAAGGTGAGGAACAACTTGGATCCCGTTGAGTGAGAGTTCCACAGAGACCACGTCAGGAAGGAGCCATTGCAGCCTGACTTGCAAACACACTTCCGGGCTGACTGTATGGTCTATTTTGAAGCGTCAGTTGGCAACCTTCCAAGCCACGACTTTTAGCGCACCGTGATAGCCTCAAGCGCGTCAGATTGTTTACGGTGAGGATTTATGAGCCGAGAGAGTCTGCCTCGCTCACTCCACCCTATCCTGCACACCAGTCGACTGTTTGGGCCGACCAACCAGCTGATGCTGAAGCCGCATGTAACCGAATGGGCTCATGCGGGTACAGTGAGGGCAATTGAGGCGGCTACTTTGGGTGTATTATGGTGCCCCGGGCACTGCTTCGTGAGTCACTGTGCAATGAATTCGCAAATGACCGGCCAGGCTAATGTGTGAGGTAAATTTGCGACCGCAGTGAGGACAAGTGGAGATAGAGTCCTCGTCGCTGGTGGTGGGCGCAGTGATGGCGAGGATGATGGGATGTTGGGAGCGGAAGTAGAAGAGGGGATCTTCGTCGTCGTCTCCGCGGAAGTTGTGGTAAGGATGATGGAGATGGCGGCGATTGAAGTGAACGAGGCATGGGATTCCGAACATCGATATTGGGGTAGACGCCGTGAGAGTTGGAGCAGGGGAGGTCGCGAAAACAGCATTTGGGGTTATCGAGCTGCTGGTTCACTGAGTTCGGAGATGCCCGACGGAGCCGATCCGCGCGCGAAATGTTTAAC